AAAATGAACAAATCTGAGAGAGGTCTACCCAAGGTACATATACACCAAGTATCAAAGCATTCAGGCTTGTAGTTTTCAAGAAGAAGTCGAAAAAGTAAAACATTGACACGGACGACGACGACGACAGACAATCACTCATATGATAAGCTCCGCTCGACAAAGTCGACAGCGGAGCTAAAAAACAGTATAGAACAAATGCTCTATGTCATTTTCAGAAAACATTACAAATTTAAAAAGCAATTAATAAAAAATGTGAAAAACAGTTCATGATTAAGGTTTGACTATATCACTGTATATAAATAACTTAGTTCTGAGCACAATCCTCAATAAACAACTACCGGTATATTACAAACAGAAAACTGTTATCAGTGATGGTAAAACTTGTGGCATGTGATCACATCACATAACTATGTAGGTTGAATAATTTAATCCACAAGATTTCATTTTTCACCGAGATCACCATTTCCTGACGACACATTACATGGATGTTGTATGCTCTTATTTATCAGCCCTTTGTATAAGATCTCATTTTCCTTCAAGATCACAAACTGACACACTTTTGTCCAATACTAAAGTATGTTACAAATCACTCCATGAAAGCCAATGTTTGATTGAATGTCCAGGCAGCTGTTGTTGTTGTTGTTGTAATCAACCGACACACTTTTGTCCAATACTAAAGTATGTTACAAATCACTCCATGAAAGCCCATGTTTGATTGGATGTCCAGGCAGCTGTTGTTGTTGTAATCAACTGACACACTTTTGTCCAATACTAAAGTATGTTACAAATCACTCCATGAAAGCCAGTGTTTGATTGGATGTCTAGGCAGCTGTTGTTGTTGTAACCAACTGACACACTTTTGTTCAATAGTTAAGTATGTTACAAATCACTCTATGAAAGCCATTGTTTGATTGGATGACATTTCAGTGATAGAGATTGATTCTCTGTGTGATTGCAGTTCGACATATTGGACATTTATGTATTAGTTCAGAACACTTCCTACATGTCATGTGACCACACTGAAATGCAACATCTCGCGTAGTTTCCATGCAAATGGGGCAACAGTGCTTATCTTCTAATGCCCTTGCTTTTTCTTGAAGTTCTTTTTTTTCTTCTTCTAGTTTTTTGGCGTGCTGAGCTTGGAGTTTGAGTTCCTGAGCCCTGCGTTCAACTTCTACACTTCTGGTTCGTTGCTGCTCGGGGCTTGCATTTGGTGGAACTGAAATAAATTGAAAAAAAAGAACTTTAATGATTTTCAACTTTGTTGCGACTACATAGAAGTTAAAATTCTGGCATGGCATTTTAGAATGTGCTAGCACACTTTGAAGGGAGAGTCTCCAAAAATCTCTCACAAATTCGAAAAATAGTCCCATTTATAGTCTGCAGAAGATTGGGATAAAAATAGCCACATTTTTTGAGTAAAAACTGAAAATTGACTCATATTTTGACTGTTAGCTCCAAAACTAGGGTTTATCTCCAGAAATTTTGAAGAATATAAGAAAAAGGTATGGAAAAATTTAGACAAGATAGTCTGGTGATGAAAAGGTTAATGCCTGTGACTGGCATTTGACTGTCTGAAAAACAAAATTTTGAAATATGAAGCTTGTATATATTTTCAATTCAAATATAGATCTTAACAATATTTGAAAACCAGTCATTATTTCATAGAAACTAGTTTGGGAACTTTTTATTTTCTCTTTGTTGTATATTTATTATAAGCTTACATTCAGCAAATTTTAATTATTGATTTTAATTAGCATTTTAATTGTTCTCAATTGTGAGAAGAAGTTAGGGCATCATGTTTTGTATCTTAAACTTTGAATGACATAATTTTTCCCGCCAAAATTTTGAGATAATTTTTTCCCGCCAAAAATTTGACATAATTTTTCCCGCCAAAATTTGACAATTTTTTCCCGCCAAAATTTGTACATAATTTTTCCTGCCAAAATTTGGACATAATTTTTTCCCAACAAAATTTTAGTGCAACTTCTACAGAATAAATTTATAGCTTTATATAATATTTTGCGACATAAATTAATAATCACAAATAAATTCCAAATGGAAAGTTGACTTACGTGCAGGTAGTGGTCTGTTTGCCATTTGCCCAAACAACAGTGCACTCTGCGGCTGTCCTGGTTTGTACTCCGGTGTCACCATTCCTGGTTGGATGTTATAATAGGAACTATGCGGCTGTGGTGGCTGCTCATTTAAGGCCATGTAATGACCCACAGCACCCGTTTGTTGCAGCGACATGTAAGACGTTGAAGAGTCCGAAGATGATGATAGCTGAGCAGGTGTCTGTGGTAACTGTCTTGTGAGTGGTTGATACACTGTCGGTTGCTGTATCTCACGAGGTGTCGATTGGCTCGGCTGTGATGCGTTTGCTGAATATATTGGACAGTCTTTACCAAACTCCACCGACATGACTTGAATAAGACCACGGAGATCAGAATTCGGCTGCAAAAAGAAATCAAAGAAAGCTTAGAAAGAACTCCCGTGTGCTGAGAGTATTGAAGACACATTAAAAATTAATTAAAAATTACTTGTACATGAGATATTGATGGAAAAGCTGAAAACTGATTATGTAAATCAGGTAACTAATATGAACAGAACAGAACAAAAAAATTATGAATTATTATGCTAAT